CATGACGGTAATCGTGGGTCTTCGGCCCGGATAGGCCGCTACGTGATTTGTTGTGAATTGTGAACTGAGATTTAAATTAAACTGATGTTATTGGTGAATATTGTGGATTATGAATAATATATGAGAAATAGGCCTTCTAGTCTAATTAGGCGGACCTGAATTGGATTGACTGATTGAATCACCAATAGGATATGGTTAGGAAATTGGCCATTGCGGGGCGTCGTCGCACCCCCGGTGGTCTTGGGTTAAAAACGTACGTACGGAAGTCCGCGACCTGTCCTGGCATCGTAGGGACAGGGGCTTCAACCCGCCCAAAGTGAATCTCCTTTGGGTTTCTGAGCTGGCCCTTTTATAGCATCGCTTGGGGTGCCATGACTCAAAGTAGTTGATGTGGAATAAAATAAGGACATGATGTTCAAATGAAAGGTGTTAATATAAATATGTTTATTTAAGCTATTTTTTTTCCTCCGTGATCACATGCTGTTGTGGATTGTATGTTAATGTGGTGCTATTCTGTGAGTTTAATGCTGGCTTAGGTATATTTTCACTCAGCGTTTCGCTGAGCGTGTAGTCGTTGTTGTTTGACTGCACGCAGGTAGGAACACGGAATTTGATGGGCAACCCGGAGGGCAGTGAAGTGGTGGTGGCGTGGATGGCTCTTGTTTACTTTAGTAATTAAACTACATTATTTTATTTGATTATATGGATTGTTGGACGTTACTTTGGTTTAATTATGCTTCCGCGACTTTTGGACTTGTTTTATTACTCCGATAAATTTTGGTTTAGCTTTAAACTCTCATGGATGAATTTATGATTTATTCAGTTGGTTATTTTTTTTTAAAAAAAAAAAATTATGCATGCGAATACCAATTTAGTAACAACCCGGTTCGCTAACCCGTTGGTTCGGGTTACGCGGGTTGGGCCGAATCTCAAAGCACAAAAGTGAGCCCTTGCAACTTCCCTATAAGCGTATCCAAGTTCTAGGCTACCTTCCCCAAAAATCTTCTTTTTTAGTTCCACTGACTTCATGAGATGAGCCAGAGCATCCACTCTCCTGCCCATGGCTTTGTTTGTGATATACAAGCCATCCTCCACAACATGTTCAACACTAATAATATGTTCGTAACTACACGACTCGCCTTTCTCTAACTTACCCAACACCAGTTTGGCCCAATTAAGGTATCCTAAGCTATCATCAAACCTTTCTAGAGCACACGATACAGAACCAATCAAATGCAGAGCCAAGGCAAGAGGCAAAGACGCACTGTCTTCGTCTATATAGAAGGACTGCAAAGCCCTAGTGGCAAAAGTTAGGGCTTTTTCGTGTTTACCTTCTCTGTGGAGTTTCAGGCCCATGTTCAGGTCATCCATGCCGGCCTTTAACATATCTTCCGAGTACTGGGGCGGGGTTTGGGTGTTGAACATCCGGGGTTTATTGGCATGGCCGGAGAAAAAGGGCGGGTTTTGTGTTAAGTGTTTGAGATGGGGATGAAATTGGGAGGCCGCGGCGTCGGATACGGAGGAGGAGATGAGAGATGAGAGCGGGCGGCGGCGAAGGAGGAGCAGTGCGGAGGAGGAAGAAGCTCTTCTCATGGCGGAATTCGGAAACAGTTTTTGGGAACCTGTGTGTTGTGGCCGTTGTGAAAGCGGTGAATATATACGTAGTACAAGAAACAACAAACAAGAAAACAAGGCTCTTTTTGTTCAATTGTTTTTAGAATAATCATATAAATAAATAATTTTTTATTCCCAAAAATGATTTACACTTTAATTAGTATAATCTTCAATTACTTTTTCTTAGTTTGTACTTAGTTCCTTTAAACCTTCCCATTTTGACTTTGGACAAAAATAAAAAAAGTATAATTTTTGTTGACTTTCCAATTTTGCTCCTATTGTGATAGATAAAAGTAAGATGTGATAGTTTGATTATTAGTAAAAAAAAGTATGATCTGATAGGTAGGGTATGAAAAAGTAGGGGTAAAAGTGGTTTTTTAATAGAAATTAAAAGTGTTTTAGAAAATTTGAAAATAACGAAAGGGGAAAGGTTTTATGGAATGGAGGGAATATAATTTTATTGATTATTTGATAAATAAAATATTTTTTGTATGTGAAATTTGTTCCAAGTAGCTCCAAAAGTTAACAATTTTTTTCCAAATTACACTGAACAAGTTTTTTCTCCAAAATTTACATTAAATTAATTTATTAATTATTAATACTAAACGACTCTTGTATCTTAATTACTTTGTGCTCTGTATAAAAACATTATAGTATCTTTTTCTCTCTTTGATCGATTTTTTATTTTTATATTTCTCTTTTGATGGACATTCTAACATTTTTAGACATTGTTCACCGATCTAAAGACATTGTAAAAATTATTATACTCCAGGGTATTATTTATATGCATGAGATGTTGTAAGAATTATGGACATTATTTGCTGATCAAGAAAAATTAATGGTTAATGCAGTGGATATTTATAATTGTGATGATATCTTTTTTTAACTGACAATGTCTTGGTATAATATACATATAGACATTAACAACGTTATTGGATATTATTAGAGTGATGACATATGAAAAAGATATTGAAAACTAGATGGAAGAGTGAAAAAACTCAGATTAAAATTTTTTATTAATTAAAAATATCTAATAATGTAATATAAAATATTATTCTTCCGTCTAGCTCATACGGGAGATGTCTGGTCTTATTTTCAAGACATTGGTTTCGAGAGGTAAATAGATTTAAAATATTTACTATGATTTTATCATTTTTTTCATTTTGTTATAATGCTAGTATGTTAATTGTCATTTAAATATAATTACTTTGCACACTTGATAAAAATATTTTGCACACTTTAATTCGTTAAGTCATTAAGAGTAAGTACTTTAGCGCCTTTTTTCAGTCTCAACCCAGGCCGTCAAATTTTCAAGACCGGCCCTGACTCAAATAGTTATTTCAACAAGATCAATGTTACTATGAGTCAAGCAAGCAATGTGTAGCAACATTAGTAAATCGAAAGGACTAATAATAGTTAATACAATTCAAATATGCTCTAAGTGCTACATCGAAGATTGGTGTTAGCCAAAATCTTCATGTCTTGCAAAGACTATATATTCTAAAGTGTCTTAAATGAATATGGCATCAGCTATAAGAGCTTTCTTTTTTTCTCTTGTTAATATTAAAAAAATGTCTTAGCTTAGTGGAACTGAGTAAACAAAGAAGAGTGATCGTTTAAAATTATAACCATGTTATTTTGTCGTTTGGAAACAAAGAAAACACAAGTTTAAAAGCGACTGATGATCATTGCAGATAAGGAGATTAAAATAATATGCTTAAAAATAGAAGTATTTATGTAAAAGTTATATTTTGATATTACATTATGAGATTAGTTTTAGTCTGGTCTCGACCTAGTCCTTCCCCCAATTTAGAGAACCGATCTAGTCTTTCCACCAATTTAGATGACCAAATGAGACCACCAGTCCGAGACAGGACCGATCTCAAAGGACCACTTTGGCCACAAATTTTTCGGTCCACTCTTGACATATCTCGGCTGATCTTTCCTGTCCAAGCTTTTTGTTCTTTAAACGGAAGGAGTATAAACTATGGGGTGTGATAGAGGTAACTCAAACTTTGTACCCTAATTTGCTCACCAGCATATTAAAGACACACAAAACAATACTTGTTGTGCTTGCAAGAAAAAAAGTTGTTTGTATGTGTCTATGATATATTGATTTGCAAGTTGGGATATAAAATTCGGGATATCCCTAGATTTTTTCCTAAACACCTTTCTAGGCTTCTTCTTGTAGCGGACAAGTTTGGAGAAATATTTCTCAAGAGATACGGAGTATGTTTTTATACTCAACACCTTACAATCCACTAAAATCCTACTCATTTCGTTCCAATTTAAATAACTTGTTTACTATTTACTTGGTCAAATTTTAACCATTTTCGTTACTTATTTTAAGAATAATATATTCGTTACTTATTTTGTACTCCGTAACACTTTTGATGTGTTTTTTGAATATGTACGATTTATTTTTTAATTTCACACCAAATTTTAAATAAAATGAGTTAAAGAAATTTCACTCAAATCTTGTAAACAGCAAGACACAATTTCAATTAAGCCGGATGAAGTATCATTTATAAAACTCTTAAAAAGTCTATTGAACTTTGGGGAAACTCTTAAATTCATTTGGTTCATCTATCCTTATACATAACAAATTTAATATCAAGAAATTCTTTTTGAAGTATACAAACTATTTTTGTTCACTAATCAAGCTTGATAAGAAACATCTTTTAGCAAATCTTAACCAAATTTGTCCATGAACAACACTATAAACGAACACCTATAAAACATATCAGCAATCTTTAATTATATGAACAAGAACACAACACTCATTTGCATTTCCTATAATTTGCCTTATTCTGTCATTCAGCCATACTCCCTATTTCCCAACATAAACTTTCCACTTGCCTTTTTTCCATAGTCCAAGAAAGAGTGAAACATGGTTGAAAATTAATGCAAAGGTGAAAGAAATCATGTAAACCAATCATTCTTTTCCTTGAAATAAAAGTGGGGAGTTTGTACTAAGCTTTCCAAATCTTATCTCTCTAAGATGAATTCATTACGTTATAAAGAGAAGGCATGCCCTTACAGTGATAGGCCTCCTTCGTCTCCTTCCTGTGATTGAAAACATCAGGTCGACGGTCCCTTGTGTTTGCTGAAGGCAATGCCTTTGCTGGGGACTGGTTGAGCAACGAAGCGCGTGCTTTTGTCATTAGCTGGTCAAGAATCTGGCGAGCTTCTTTAAGTTCGTCTTCTGCATTTTGACCATGCCCTTCCCAAGCTTCTACAGCTTTCTTTTGGAAGTCAACTGCAAGCTCATAGCTGCAAAAAGGAAGGACCCATCTCTACAATGGTTAATGGCTGTGTATTTTATTATCATATATACACAGTTGCACATTTTCTTTGTATCGGTGCATGAAGATGTGAAAATCTTATGAAGGAATTACAGAGGCATCAATTTCACAATGTTGAAAGTTTAAAGTTTGTTTAGGTGGCATGTACATGTACTGTAAGTGCTTTTAAAACAAGATTGTTCTAGTTTTGAGCACTAAAAGTGATTATTATTTCTTGAAAATCTCTTACCCATTGCCTTCTTGTGCATTTAAGATGACTTGTTTTTGAGAAATAATTGCCTATTGGAGGGAGAAAAAACCTTACTCCGAAAACAAACATTTAGCAGTATAAAAGTGTTCTTGACTGTTAAAACCCACATATAGTACTTGTTTGAGAAAAACCCAGTTTGGTGCTTTTCACTTTAAAAAAAAGAGTTAGGTCGAGAAAAAACTCATTATAAAAGCACTTAAATATTCCGTATAAGCACAAATTTATGGTTTTTAAGGTTTAAAATGCGCTATTCTAAATTACAAAGCACAGCTTGCATTTCCTAACAAAGGTTCATTGCTAATGAACTAAAAGTGATCATTGACAACATTTTAGTTTTGCGTAAATTATGAACTAAATTAAAACGACCCATAAAACTTCCTTTGCTTCTTAGTTTCTATAATGTTATCACTGGTGAATGTACCAATCAACAACAAAAACAAGTCAACAACAACCCAATACAATCCTACGAAAGTAGGGTCTAGGGAGGGTATGTGTACCAATCAACAACAATCTAACAAAAAATAACCTCTGTTTTTTATGGGGGTACAACTTGGCTCCCATAGAGTTGGGATTCTTCTGGGTTTTGTTTTTTGTTTTCATTTCCTTGTCAAAATCTTCATTTCAAAAGTTGTGGTTTGTTTCTTCCTATAAAAAGCTGTTTATTCTTTGAAGGTAAGTCGCCCCAGATGCCAAAACAGCTACCTTTTGGGGGGAATAACTCAGAAAAAAAGAAGTAACCCACATTAAATTGAACCAAACATAGAAGCATAATAGATTGAGCCGTGATTCTGTGAATGAAACAATGATTAATGTATCAGAAGAGAGTATAATTTTACCTTCCCATAGCAGCATATGCTTTTGAAAGGTTTTGAACAGCCTCTATTGAATCAGCATGGTGAGGGCCAAGAGACACATCCATTACATCCTTAGCGTATGCAAAAACTTGTGCAGCCGACTGTGGTCTATCTAATTCCAAGTAAGCAGCACCCAAATTATTGTAAACGTAACCGATACTAAAATGCTTTGAACCAAAGCTCTCTTTAAGCCTTTCGGCTGCATCCTCCAAAGAAGGAATGGCCTGCTCCACTTTTCCCGTTAACAGAAGTAACCACCCAATCCTTGCAGAAACAGTCCCTACTGAATGTTGTTCTTGAGGAATCTTTTCAAGCATTCTCAGTGCTTTGTTCAGCAAAGATATGGCAGTTTCAAATTCATTCATCAGCTCATATTGCGTTGAGATTTCCATATAAGCTTCGGAAACCTCAACAGGAAAGCTCTTTTCTTTCTTCCTTAGAATCTCACAGGCAGAGTCAAGACACTTNCTCCAAAGAAGGAATGGCCTGCTCCACTTTTCCCGTTAACAGAAGTAACCACCCAATCCTTGCAGAAACAGTCCCTACTGAATGTTGTTCTTGAGGAATCTTTTCAAGCATTCTCAGTGCTTTGTTCAGCAAAGATATGGCAGTTTCAAATTCATTCATCAGCTCATATTGCGTTGAGATTTCCATATAAGCTTCGGAAACCTCAACAGGAAAGCTCTTTTCTTTCTTCCCAAGAATCTCACAGGCAGAGTCAAGACACTTCTTTGATTCTTGGAAATTCTCCTGGCTAGATAATGCTTTTGACATGGAAAGAAGGACCATTGCTCTGTCCTTGCTCTCCTTATCAGTCCGTTGAAGAACACTCTTCAGGGTATCGATGGCATCATAGTACCTTCCCAGTGCAATCTGAAAATTAGCAGTATCAATCTCTGCTTGGAGCAACGCTTGACCAAGACCCCAATTCTTCAAGACCTTTTGAGACAGTTCATTCTCTTCTAAAGCGGCATCGTGGTCCTGTAACCCAGAGTGTATAATCCCAAGGAGTCTTCTGTCATGTGCAACCTGAACAGAGTTATTCCCCAATAGTGCTTTGTGTATATTCAATGCCCTCATACAATACGAATACGCCTCTCTGAAATTCAAAACAGAAACATAAGCCTCAGCAACTTCCCTGTAAGCTTTTCCAAGTTCTCCACTGCGTTCATCCAAAACCAGCTCTTTTAGCTCCAAAGCCTTCAAGAGGTTCGTCAGAGCTTCCTCTCTCCTCCCCATGGCTGTCTTTACATTGTACAGTTCAAGCTCCACGGCATGGAGGATAGGACTAGAGTTTTCAACATTACAAGACGCGCTTTCCTCTAACTTCCGCAATACCCTCTTGGCCCTATTAAGGTACCCTAGGCTGTCATTGAACCTTTTCAGACCATAAGACGCAGAACCCATCACTTGCAGTGTCATGGCAAGAGGCAAAGACGCATCATCTTCATCTCTGTCAAATGAATTCAAAGCCCTGGCGGCAAAAGACAGCGTCTTTTCAGGATCATGACCTTCTTGGTCGAGTTTAAGGCCCATTTTCAGGCAAGCCATGCCGAGCTCTCTTTCATCGAAGCAGGTTTCCATATCCTTGAGAGCCTTCAACATTTCCTCTGTGGACTCTGCGGACTCAAATGCCTCTTCAAGATCGGATTTCTGCTTGATCTTCCTCTGCCTTGAAGAAATCTGGGGCGGGGTTTGCTCGGCGAGGGTGTTAAACATCTGGGGTTTATGGGGTGTATTGGCATCGCGTGAGAGAAAAGGTGGGGTTTGGGTGATGTGTGGGCGAAATTCGTGGGCGGCGGCGGCGGCGGAGGAGGAGATGAGAGATGAGAGCTTAGCCCGGCGATGAATTAGGATGAGCGTGGATGAAGAAGCTCTTCTCATGGCTTAATTCGGATGAGCAATTCCTCGTGACCTTTGTCGTTGATAAACCCTACGGTGATTTCTACAAGAGCCTTCCTTCGAGGTAGCTGTAGCTCAGGTAGGGAGGGATGGACAGGGTAGGGGGTGTTTGTGAAGCATTACTCTTTATTTTTAGAATAATGGTGACGCAAAAATGAAATGTCACGCGGTGCCGTGGAATATTACAATCAATAAAAGATAGTCTAGGCACTTTTTACATGTGAGTGAAGTGTTAAACTCTACCGTGGCAAGTCGTTGCTCTAATCACTTTTTACATTTTTTGTATATATTTTAATTTATAAAATTTATTTTGCTTGTCAAAAAATAAATATATAAATAGAAAAAAATCAAAAAAAAAAGAAAATAAAAAATAAAAACAGACTTATACCTTGACACATCCATGACACGATTTGCAGAGCGAAATGCTCTGTTATTCCATGCTCATCATGGCAATTAAGGAGGTGGCAACCATGGCAAGGATTGTCACGCCCGTTGTCGATGCTCTTATAATATTTATATCAGCTTGGTTTCCATGACATAGGTTCAATATCATGAGATGACTCCAGAGCCTTGCAATATTTAATTCTTACCTATTAATCCCTCGGGACCCCCCCCCCTTAATTCCGCTTCCAAATTTTATTGATTTTGAAGTTAAAATTTGACTCCAAAGTCAACAAAATATGGGATGTGCAACTGAAAGGGGTGGGTGATAGGTTCATGAGGAGTTTATCAAGAAAATTAGGAAGTAGGAATTATCAATTTTTCGAATAAAGCACCGTAGGCCCCCAGATTTTCCAAAAACATTGCTAAACAATGTCATGAGAACTACCTCATATTTTTATATACTCTTTACTACATTAGAAATATACATGTGATATAAACTCGCATTTAATACTAATATATTATACAGTTGATATTTAAAATGTATACCCCATAAAATTTTATATTGTATACATAATGAGAATAAAATTTACTCTATTCATTTGTAGAATTTCGAGAAATAATATTCTGATATTTCATTCCATGAACGTTGAATATATACACTCAAACACAGGTTAATAGGACAAGTAAACGGGCTTATACAAATAAAAAATATCATGTGACAGAGCTACGATTAAGAGGACAACCACCCAATCCAAATCGGAACTCAGAATAAGTAGTAAGATCAACAATAGATGATTTAAAGGGGGTAACATTTAAAATATATTAATAACAATTAAAATCTTAAATTTATAAATTAGTTTTTCATTATGACTAGAAATTTGAATAATGCGTAGAATACAACATGTTATGAAAAAAAGTCACACATCCGAGGGCCTATCAGGACTGGTAGGCTGTCACTTGAGAAGAAAATACATTATATTATGAATCAAATTAGAGATATTAAAATTTAAAATCAATTGTCGCATTACACTTATCACAAGTTTTCACTAACATGGTATAATGTTAATCTCTATAAAAATCTACTCCCTCCATTCTCAAAAACTCTTCCTCTTTCATTTTTTTACTTCCACCAAAACACTTCCACTTTCTATTAAAAAACCATTTTTACCCTTACTTTTTCATACCATACCTATCACATCATACTTTTTCTCTAATACTCAATCCATCACATCTTACTTTTACCCATCACATCAATGGCAAAATTGGAAGTCAACTATAATTTAACACTTCCTTATTCTTACATAAATTCAAAATAGGAACACTTTTATAAAACGGAGGGAGTATGAGTTAGATGAAATGAGTTGTGAGAGTTGGTGTTAAAATGGGGATCCCCAAGCTTACTTCTTATTCATTTCATTCAATAATAAACTTCTCATTTTGAAGAACGTGTAAGATCTAATTTTTTGAAATTATTTTTATTTAGAAATTAGTACGGAGTATATCATAAAAAGGTACAAATTATTTTTTTCAAAACTACATCAAAAGTTTTATATAAAATCTATTATGGACCTAATATCCACCATGATCTACGTATGAATCAAATAAGTAATTTCTTACTACTTACATGAGTATGATTAAAATATGTAAACAAACATTAATTATCAAAATGCCGTAATAGTAACGTGAAAGTTTTTTGTTGGAAGAATGAAGTATTTTTGTATAGTTTTTATTTTCTTTTCCATGAGTTTGACTAGGGATAAATACGATTTGTGATGTTCCCATATTTCATAGAACTTGCACTGTACTGTTACAAGAGTGCCTAATTACAATTCTAATTCCTCGATGTGGTTCAGTCTTAGGACTAAATTGATTCGATAGCATATCATTTAAAAATGAGATAATATTCGATTCATTCCAAATTAAATTGTATGTTTGTTATTTACAAGTTAAATTTTGTTCATTTTTTTTCATATTTTCATTAGTCATTTGATAAAATAATATAATCATGTCATCACTAATTTTATAGACCTTTTGATATTATTTTTACTCCCTCCGTCGAGTCAATCTTTATATACTTTGTTTTTTCTATCTTTGTTACTAATTTGATAATATAATATATTTATCTCACATCTAGTTTGTAGATCTTTTGATGTAATTTTTAATATATAATTTTTTTTAAATTTTACATCGGGAAATAAATTATTGATCTTATTCGATAGGGAAATATTTTTGGGATTTTGTCTCCTCATTTCCTAATTTTGACCATTAGAATTCGAATCTCGAAGCGCAGCATTGGTTTCGTGCAAGAAAGGAGAAATATTTACTCCCAACGGTCGAATTTGTAAATTGGGTAACACTGGGCCATGCTCGCAAAGACTTCCATTTTTGTTTGGTGTTCCCAACGGTAAAAAAATCCATCAAACCACAGCCCCGACCCGAGAAAAACAATCAGGCCCAGCCCAACAACCCTTCCCGCGAGAACGCGCTAGAGAAATGGCGCGAATTCCTACCTGGCAAGGGACACGTCGGTTGCCACATCACTCTTGGCGCCAAAACCCTAAGATATAGCCGCGCTGCATCTCTGCTTCTTCTTCTCCCCAACAAATCTTCCGTCAATTCCAATCTTCCGTCCGGTCTGATGAAAATGGACGCCACCGAATCGCTGCTTCAGTCCTTCCGATCGAAGAAGGTGCTGCGTTCGAGTTCGAAGTCGGATCCGTCGCCGGCGATTGAAGTTCCGGCTGGGGATCCGTGGAGTTCTAAGACCCCTGAGAAGCCCGTCAATGCTTCTCGCCGGATCCAGAACCGCAACGCCGCCTTCTCTCTGAGTCAGGTCAGAAAGGCAGCTCATAATCTCCTCAAATCAGATCCGGAACCATCTGCTCAAGGCGATCCAATTTTGAGGTCGGACGGAGATGGGGTCGATTGCCGTCCTCAATCTTCCGCTGTAAAGACTAAGAAGCCTAACCGTTCAGCAAAGCTTCCAGAAAAGTAAGCGTTCTTACAATATTCTTTATATTTGCTGGAATGCCGTCTTTGCAGTTTCACATGATAGCTTGTTGATGATTTGTAGTAAATTAGTAATGCTATTTCTATCCTGCAATTTTTTTCTGATGCTAAATATTATCAAAACTTGTCTCTTTAAACTGGATTTTGTGTGGTTAAATGAAATATCATCTGGTTTCATGTTGGATCGTCTGTATCGGGTTTATATTTTGATTAATTTCCTGAATTTATTCCAGGTATGAGATGTTGGCCAAGTTTTTCAAGGGCCTGGATAGTTCTATTAGGCTACTACAGCTTAAAGCTTCATTGTTATCATTTAAGAATATTAAACCTGCAGTGGAGACATTGACTGATAGGTATTGGATGCAAACACTATAAATCTCCTGTATTGTTTTGGGATATCTTCTGCTAATACTTGTGATTAGGCTATGCTAATTCGTTGGTTTCGGGTAATTGTTTGTAGGACGTTTACTCACAGTCACGTAGCACAGATGAAGTTCATTTTACCGGAGGCCATTGAGTTAACGAAGGTCCTTCTGCAAGATGAATCTACACTTTGTATGAAATCTGATCTTGTTATTACTCTAAACCCTAATGCAGTTGTGGGCGAAGGAAAGGTGAAATCAGGCAATGCTAATCTAGAGTTGTCTAATATATTCCGAAAGCGCCTTTTGGATTATCTAGAAGCCCATCCAGAGGTATTAACTGTTTTGTATATATTGTGTTTGGTAGAATGTACTTTTGCTATATGACAATGTCTGGTTAATATTTGAGGAAATGCCTTTCCCTAAAATTGTTAACTGCCAAATTAGTACAGCCAAAACTACTTGAAATCTAGTTTGATTATTTACAGCTGAAACAATTAAAGCATTTACAACCTGTTTCAAAAAAAAAAATAAAGCATTTACAACCCAGATTTTGTTTTTGTGATTTTACTGGGTTGTTGTAAATGAATTGCAATCAACTAATTGATCAACTTTGTGACCTCAGGAAGATGACATTCCAGAGGGTGAATTGCCAGAACCATTCAATAAGTCAAAGCATGACACTCTGAGTAAGGCACCAAGGATTGTAGATGCACCCAATGATGCTGTTTCTGAACAGAAGCACAGCGTGTGCTCCAGTCTGTCAAAGCCACCAGCTTCTGCCTCACATCTTTCTCAATCTTTTAGGCCGCGCTTTTCTCGACGCAACACCCTTTCCATGAAAGAGGAAACTAAGTCAGACCAAACTGTTTCTGAGAGGAAACCTTATGAGACTCCTAACTCTCATCAATCAGAATGTGTCGCAAAACCAAAAAGTACCAGCTGCTCATCCCATTTAGAAACTCCCATAAAGGACGCTCGTCCCTCCAAAGTTGAAAAGGTAACACCAGCTAAACTTGTATCCACACCAGCAAAAGTGATGACTTCCACTCCTGCTCTTGCTCCTCCTCCTAAGAGATGCTATATGAGTCCTGAGGATGATTCAGCTAAGTCCCCAAACAAACTGGCTAGGCGCTCTTCCAGGGGAAAACTGGTCTTTGACACGCCAGTAAAGGATGCCAGCAGTGCCGATCAAGTCAGTGAGATTGGAACATGTTCTTTGGATTACCAAGATTTATTGGATGTTCTTCCTGAGAATCTTTTGCAATCGGTAAGCATAGTTATTCTATGGTAATCATCCTTTTTATTTAATCTACCAAGTGGTCTACTTTTAGATTTCAACTATTTCAGCCAAATTTGCTCTACCAAAGTCTTTGTTGCAATAGAAGCCTATGAAGAAATGCTAACCATGGCGTGTTTATGCAGATCAGAGAAAAAGAAAGGAAGGCAACAATAGAAAGAAGTCCTGCAATCTCACAAGCAAAGTGGAGGAAACAAATGATTGCAAGCCTACCAAAAATGTTTGATACAATTTACTGTCTATTTCATTCCATCCAGCGTTCGGTCATCACAAAGAAGGAGCTTATGCACAAAGTACTCGCGAACCAAATTGACATTGCCGATGCCAGTAAGCAACGCCCCAACTAACAAAAACTCGAGCTCTTACAGAGGAAACCTGTTTTCTAAGCCATGACTATTTTAACTTGCAGGAGAAGCTGAAGAGCAGCTCAGATTACTGCTTGAATTTGCACCAGAATGGATATATGAAAAGATGGCATCAAGTGGAGATCTCCTTGTTTGGTAAGTCTGGGAAACCATTAGTTTTTGTTCACTTGATACTTCAATGAGTGTGTCTTATCAACTGGCTTCATCTTGTGCAGTGTAAACAAGATGCAATGCCCCAGCTCAATCCGGGCCAGACTGCTAGATGCAAAGTGAGGATGGAAGGCTACTCTTTTTTGGGTGTGTAAATAATGGAGTATAATTTTAATCTTGGAATCAAACTTCTTAGGACATAGTGGTGCTTCTCCTAGATGAAGAGGAGGTGGAGCCACTCGCCGCCGCTAGTCATCCCACCCTCTGCATCTCAGGCTGTTCTTCAAAGCCTTGGACTAAGAGCATCGAGATTTGGGAGGAGGCCGAGAGAGATGAAGCTTGTTCAATGCAGGTTGCTCGTGGTAGTTATTTCTCTAGTTTAAAACTTTAATAACTATGGTGTAAATTTTTTGTAGCTTCTACTTTCTCTCAGATGTTTTTTTATTTATCCGAATTCGAGGGGAAGCATTATATTGGTTTCGTAAGAAAGGAACAATATGTACTAGACTTTTAAGGGACGATTGCAAATTTGGTTATGGATCGTATTCGTGTTTGTATTCGTACTCGTTTAGGAAAGAGATTACTAGCATATGTTTCATATAAGATATTATCTGAATAAGTTTGTTGATATTAGGATATATCAATACAAATATAGTAATTAGATATTCGAAGTATTAATACCCACACACACATAATTACTCAGTATAGTTTTTGAATTTATATTTAATGTTTGAATTTATACTTAGCAACGTATAATAGCCACACATTTTGTGAGTGTCATGAACCCATAGGTAAACAATACTTGTAATATTCCTAATCTTCAAGTTAGGTCTACATTGTGCAGAATTTGCTTTTAGCGTCATGCTACCATGTTAATTCCACAAACGCTCAACTGATATACATGTTTTCTAGCTTTTGTCGGGGTCAAAACATAAATTTATTCAGGCAAGCGTAATAAAACCGTGTATCAAATATGGAGTACATAATGTATGTTTGAAATTAATTTTAATTTAATTTTTTTGTAATTAATATAACTTAAAAGTTAAAGATCATTTAAAAAATACTCCCTCCATCCCAAAAAAATTGCGTCCCACAATCCCTTACTCATTTCTATTAAAAAACCACTTTTATCCTTACTTTTCCAAACCCTACCTATCACATCATACCTTTTTTCTAATAACTTACACATCACATCCTACTTTTACCCATCACATCAAGGGTATTTTTGGAAAGTCAACACAAAATTATCACTCCCTTAATTTCAACTTTAGTCAAAATGGGTAACACTTTATGGGACGGAGGGAGTATAAAATAAAATGATCAATTAAAACATATCCAATATAAAATTTGAAGATTAATACTCCCTCCGTTCTAAACTATTTGCTACACTTGCTTTTTCAGCAGTCGCGAGAATTTTTGTTTATTTCTACGTTTTCATTGGTTATTTGATAAAATAAAATATTCTTGACACCTCTTATTTCGAAGAACTTTTCATGTAGTTTTTTGATATGTAAATTTTATTTTTTATTTTTATACCAATATGTAAATAAAATAAATTGAAAAAACTTGATTTTTTACCTCGAAAATACAAGTGTGACAAATACTACGTTTTTAGGGACAGAGGGAGTATGAAATTTGCTAAAGACATTCTGATCCGAGTGGTTCCCCTAGGCAAGTAAATTTGACCCTTAGACATTAATTCTTTGTGCCTTAGTAAATTCAGAAAATATATACTCGAAGTGTGAGTATGAGTAGTTATACAATTATACCATACGTCCAATTGTACGTCCAATTATACTCCCATATATTTATATGAATACTCAGAATAATTGAATATTTATTTTTTAGCAATGGAAAACATTGTGGTATAGATTGTGCGGTATATTTTTGCAGTATGAATATATATATATCACTACTTCCGTTCGGATTTAATCTTCTCATTTCAATTTTCTTGATCAACGTTTTTCCGGTATACAAGAAAAATATACTCCCTCCGTCCCAATTTAAATCGTCTGTTTTGATTTTTGGGCATATTTAAGGAAAATAAAAAATAGTGTTGATTTTTCAAAATTGTCATTACTTTTTAGAAGGGGTGATGATGAATGAGAAGATAATGTGAAGAAAAGTGACTTATTTTAGAGGTAATTTAGGTATTTTATTTTTTAAAAGTTTACGAAAACAACTAACAGGCAACTTATTTTGGGACGGAGAAAAAAGGCAAACATGCAATTTAAAATAGGACGGAAGGAGCATTATATTTTGATATAAATGTAATATAAATAATTTTCTTTTGAGGTATAGTTTTGAAACATTAAATTTCATAAAATATATCAGTTTATAAATATTGATATTAATGATTAAAATATAAAATCTATTATAAAAAAATCAAATAAAAAGATTAAGGTAGCGTTCCGTTTAACTTATTTTTCCTGTTATTACTAGTTTTATTATACTGTAATTTGATCATATTTTAACCCCGTCAAATCAAATTTAAGTATAATTTCAAAGATGAAATAGAGATATTTGAAAAAGTGTAAGATGAAGAAGGTGGATGAATGGAGTAGGTAGATGAATACTAGGTATGTGAGAGGCCCTGCTAAAAGAATTGTAAAGGTCTCAGCCGATTAGTTTTTAGGTTGCATCGGCGACGAGGGTACTGCATCTACGATTCCCGGCGGCGGTAGACGGCACCTTACCACTTCGGCCGCCCCTAACGACCACACCAAGCGCGACAAGTATCCATCGGTGAAGACATGGCCGCCTGCTTGCTTTTACTCTATCAATCCGCAATCAGATTTAGGGTTCTCGCGGACAGATTTCGTCTAACCCTCTGAAACCGAACCCTAGGTTTGCGACTCTTTACACGTTTTCCAATCCTTCCAAATCTGGGTTCACTTTATTCTTCGAAATTTATTCACCAATTCGTGCCCAATAGAATGTTATGGGCTCGAAATCTCGTTCTTGTTTTACTTGTCCTCTGAAGATTCAATTTCTTCAAAGAAAAATCTCTACTTTATCACAGTGGGGATGTCATTTGTATCAGTTCATCAACACATACATCAGCTTATCTACTACTCGAATCGATACGGTTATTTTGAGTTTGTGAATATCTGTTTGTATGCAATGTGGATTAGTGAAGTGTTTCTTGGAACTCAAAGTTGGCACTTTGATTAACTACTTGATGGTAGGGGATTTTCTGTCTCAAAAATGCGATTCCACCCTTCAGATGTTGTCACATGGCACAAAATTGTGGTTCTAATTCGTTGTTGTGCTATGTGACGACCTCTGGAGGGTAGGACATCGAGGTCGGATAACATTTTTTGGGACAAAGGATTTGCTCTCGAACTGCTTGTAGTGTTAAATATCTGAATCATATCTTCTCTTATTCCCTGCAGTTAACAAGTTCAAAGAATCATATATCGAGATGTGGGCCCTAGAGCATACAATGCTGCTGGCTACGTCTACCAGTCACCCGGCCTGTAACTTCATTGACAGAAGAATCGGCAGTGTCATTCGGAGGAAGATAACATTATCATGCCCAAATTTGTATTACCCTAAAGTTTATTTTCCTCAAAGAGCTCAGATTCATAAAGCCCTCAAGCCATCCCAATTACAGAGATGTTATGTGACTCCTACTACCAATGATGAGCCCCATTGTGCATCCGCATCTATAGATGAAGAAGAAGAAGAAGTTTCTGCAAACGGTCGACTGAATAATGAATCAGAAACCTTATTCAGTAACTGGTCTCCTCCTAGGTACTTATGGAGGGGGCTATCCGTCCTAATCATGGCCGGGCAAGTGATCATACGGGTTGTAAAGGGAAAAATCCACTGGAGAAACACCTGCCAGCAACTAGAGAGGGTCGGCCCTAAATCCGTCGGGGTTTGTCTGCTGACCTCAGCTTTTGTGGGCATGGCCTTCACCATTCAATTCGTCAGGGAATTCACAAGGTTAGGGCTAAACAGGTCCGTCGGCGGGGTCTTGGCCTTGGCATTCGCAAGAGAACTGAGCCCGGTCGTCACGTCAATCGTGGTTGCCGGCCGCATCGGCAGCGCGTTCGCCGCGGAGCTCGGGACGATGCAGGTTTCCGAACAAACCGACACGCTTCGGGTTTTGGGTGCGGACCCCGTCGATTACCTGGTGGCCCCGCGGGTGATCGCCTCTTGTGTCGCTTTGCCCATTTTGACCCTGATGTGTTTCACGGTCGGGCTGGCGTCCAGCGCGGTCTTATCCGACGGGGTGTATGGGATCAGTGTGAACATAATCTTGGATTCGGCTCGGAGGGCGCTTAGGTCATGGGACATTGTGAGCGCGATGATCAAGTCGGGTGTTTTCGGCGGGATCATATCCGTGGTGAGCTGCGCTTGGGGCGTGACGACCCTTGGGGGGGCTAAGGGGGTGGGAGAATCGACCACTTCGGCTGTCGTCATATCTCTTGTGGGCATCTTCATAGCTGACTTTGCACTCTCTTGTTGTTTCTTCCAGGGTGCAGGTGACTCTCTGAAAAATTGGGTTTGATGCTTTTCTTTTTTATATGCTCACTTTTCTGAAGAAGAAGAAGAAGAAGAAGAAGAAGAAATTCTTTATGCATCATAGCTGTATCTGTCTTTCTTCATTTAAGAATTTGAATGTTTTTTAACTTTTAAAGATTAATATCACTCTCTTTTGTTCAAAGAATAAAGAATTTGGAAGGGAAAAGGAAATGGACTTGTATTTTGATGAGAAAAATGAGAGAAAAAAGAGCATATTCATATCTTCATTCTAAGCTTCTATTCTCATTTGGCTCAATTTGGTCTCTGTCTTCTCATGTCCTAATCAATGAAATTTTTTAAAACTCTTCTACAACATAAATCTACTAAAATACAGAGTAGTTTTACTGTTTTACCAATAATATGCAATATAAATTTCATTTTATTGAAGATCAAATTTTATCTTGTTTGATTTGAAAAAAAAAATCAGAGTGAACGAATGCTCAGGATTTCTGGGTTCTTTTGGGGAGTATTTTGTTTTGTTTTATACTGGGGTATTTGGAATGCGGAGTAGAAAAGCTGGCTGATAAGTCAATGAATAGAATAAGCGTTTATTTAGAGGAATTAAACTGTCTTTGGGCCGCAGAAGCCAATAGCTTCTAGCTAGTTCATGTGCAACTTTGTTATCAACACATTGTTAACTTTGACCATTTAAATGTTACTCACTTACTCCCTTTGTTTCAAATTAAATTATCTGTTTCGATTTATGAATTTTGGCTGAAGTTATTTTTAATTTATTTTATTTGAGAATTGAGGTAAAATTAGAAATTGACGGAGTACATTTTTTAAAAATTTACATAAAAGAATTTACGAAACGAGATGTGACATGACCAAATTTTTTTACGGAGTATTAAATGAGTAACGAAAACAGTAAAGAAAATGGATGAAGTTTGACTACATGAATAGTAAATAGACAACTTAAATTAAAACGGAGGAAGTGGCAAGCAAGAAATTTAAAGAAAGTGTCGAAAATAATAATTGAAATGCTAAAATTTGTTTTAGAAAGAAAATTTTGAAGTGCAATATTTATTTTATGTTGGATAAAAAAGATGTAAATTTCAGCACAAAAAAATGTTTAATAGATTCTTCTTGAATCTTGAGTAACTTTCTCATCAGCTCCTCCCTAATAAACATAAAAATAACTAAAAAAAATAAGAATATTATGCCAAAATATTTTGCAAAAAAAAAAAGCCAGCCAAAATTGACCTAGACACAGAACCAAAATGGAACTCAAATCATGACAAATGGACACTGAAAAGGGAAAAGTGACCCAAATAGATTACATATTTGTGAAAAAGCAAGCTTCCAAATCTACCCTGGATCATTATGGTTCCAACTACACACTACCATTTGTCCATTTTTCCAACGAAAAAGAAAACACAATTTTTTCTTATCAAGTAAAAGGAAAAAGGGGGGCTGATATGCTTTCTCCTCAGTCCTCACAGTTCTTTAATACGGAATAAATACGAATATTTTATAATTATATTTAGAATAAAATTCCTATTTTTTTTTTTTGAGAAAAAGAATTGTGTGAATCAAACAATTTCTTTTCTCTGCACAAAATTTAATCACATTCTTTTATCTACATTGAAAAAGTAGATTTTATTGTTAATGGATAGTCCCCATGCACCCATATGACCAGTATATACTTTTGATTGAGTTTTGACTTTTGACACACAAAATATATATACTCCCTTAGTGTAAAAATTATATTTTAGTTGCGTGTTACGATATTATTTTATCACGTTAAGAATGAATATAGGCCGTTAAAGTAGATAAAATTTGATCATGTGAATAATTATTGGGAAAGAAAAATTTGGAACCATAGGTGAAATGAATCTTTAGTTCCGGTTTTCTTTACATACACTCATCATCATCTTTTTAAACCAAATTAATTGTTTTTAACTATTGCTCTATAGTAAAAGTAAAGTGATGTTCTATCTTTATCATATACGGAGTATATCACCATGTGACAATTCTTTGATCAATGATTTATTTATTGACTAAAAAATGTAGATTCAAATCAAGCTGGCCCCAAACGACCTGCAAAGGCATTTACTGTTTTTTTAAATCATGTATTGTTTTGACAAACTTTTTTTAAAGAGTTTTTAAATGTTTTAACAACGCCAACACAATTTTTTTAAATAGTTTTTAAATGTTTTAATAACGCCAACACAATTCAGAGCTCTAAAGTTCGTATGAAAATCTTTTCTCTTTTTTTTCTGCAATAAAGTGTCACCCTCATTGGCTCATTTTGAAGTCTCTCTAAATTAAAATGGAAATAGGGATTGACATAAACTGTGAAAATGTGAAAAGCTAAACTAATCTTCGATCATATTGATACACACACACGATACTTTGTAATCCATTGGATGTCGTGACAAATCCGTGACAACTCTTGTTAAGCACAATCGGCAATCCGTAACAAAAATGTGTGACTAAATCCACATTTTTTTGTAGTAAGTGACCTATAAAAAATCCAAATATTATACAGTTGACCTTAAAATTTAATTTGGAATTAGATTTGTTTGTGGATGATTTATCAGCATGCAATCATATCGTTTCTAATAATTTCCATTTGTGTCTCTTGTTCTTTTTTCCCTTTAGCTTGAGTGATTGGTAAATTGGCTGTACTAATATAATTAGCATATTGGTTAAAATAAAAAAGTTGAAATTACACTAAGAAAATAATTAATAATGATGATTAAAAGGGGGCCGGGTGACTATAATCATCCGAGATGATACTGTCCATTCATGACAATACATATATGGGATCCCAAGCACAATGTTTAGTTAGTGTGGCACAACATGAATTGAATAACTCAACATACATGCATGGGGTACTAGAATCACACTCGCGCGTTGCACGAGTCATATTTACGTTACTAAATTAAAATTATTTTTCAACGGCACGGATTCAAAAGTGCACTTGAAAGAAACTAATTACGAAAATCCTTGCAAATGATCGTATTTATATTATGAAAAGTTTTAAGCTTATTCTATTTTCCTTTTTCAGAATTTTTTAAAAATTACAATGTAGTATTTTCGGCCAAATTACACGGTTGGTGTTAGTTACCATTTCAACATTCCTTTGTTAACTTAAATTTTCTATTATCAATGTGTATTTATGATTCTTTCTTACCAAACCGTATATAAGAAAAATACTTTATTTAAAATATTTATTTATTTAAAATATTTATAAAGTATAAATGGAAATACAATTGCAATTTTAATTTGGATACTTTAAGGTAGGAGAATATTTTTTTGTTCAATGCAACGTTTTCAATTTTTTTAAAGACAGTGATTTTTTATACACGGTAACCACAAAAAAGAACATACCTTTTTTAATAATATTATTATTACATTGCTTATAATGAAATTACCTTATTTAAAATATGTACGTAGTATAAAGTAAAAAAAGGAAACATAATTATTTTTTTATCGGTTTTTTTTGTGTTTTTCTTACCACTTCAACATTCTATTTTTACCTTAAATTTTTAATTATCAATGTGTATTTATGATTCTTTTTTACCAAAATTGTGCATAAAGAAATCACTTTATGTAAAATAACTAAAAAGTATAAATGCAAACACAACTGTGATTTTAGTTAGGTTTGGAAATTTAGTTTACAAAATTAGAGGACATATTACTTTGTATGTATAACTAATTAACTTCTTTTATATTTAAATCATAATTTAAATTATTGAAACGTGTGTCTACGCAATTGACCCAAATAAAGAAACTAACCATTTTTATTCATACACATTAAACACTAAAAGCCATAATTCCTTTTTTTATTAATGTAATTTTTTAAAATTGTACTATGTAGGTATAATCAATAAATTTTTCTTTATATTTAATTCGTAATTTAAAAAATTATTACGTTGGTCTACGCAATTGACGTTCTAAAAAAGAAAACTAACCTTTTTTTATTCCTACGCATTAAACACACGATTTTATTTAATTCCTAATTTAAATTAGTATACCCTAAAAGTCTTACCGTGTTACCTTTTTTAATTAAATACCATAAAAGTTTTACCTTTTTAACCGTGTGCATTTGGGCGGGAATTCCATGGAGCCATTTTCCCCTGCTTTTAATAATAGAATGATACAATGAACATAGAGTACTCTTTATTAATAATGTATTTGTGCAATGGAAATAAAAAAAGTCAAACAATATTTGTCAAGGTTTAAATATGGAGTAATTAACTTGTGAATAATATTTTTTTTCAGAGAAAAGCAGTTTTATTCGCATAAATTTTTTTTAACTTGTGAATAATATTTAATTAATTGATCGGTTTATTAAAAAATAATTAATTGATCAAATTTTGACTCCAAAGTCAAAATCAACTTGTGGGGTGCAATTGAAGAGGGTGAAAAATGTGTTTTCGGGGCGGGGTGGGGGGTTTACCGGAGGGGTTAGGGGGGTAGGAACCGTCAATTTATAGAAATTATATATTAATAATCTATATGTTAAGACCAATAAAACAAGATCACACATGACTATTTTTAGACTTACACATTGAGAGAATTTGGTGAGTCAAAGTGCTTAGATGAACAGTTCCAAAAGTCAAATGTGGACAAAGACAGTGGGACGGAGGTAGTATATCCTAAAATAGCGTTAGAAGCATCTTGTAATTATAATTTGTAATTCAGAAACTACACTGTGGGTCTATTTGGAAATAATGTTAGAGATTAGTCTTAACGTTTTAAAAATGTTATAATTTTTTTAGACATTGTGTTTAAATTTTAGACTAATGCATGCAATTAGACATCACATATATATTACCCGCAAAACAATCTCAAACATTTATTCTCAGGGAGATGCTAGGGGTGCACCTTATCCCAAATGTACACCACGTACTTCTCCATTATCCATTTTTATTTGATTTTTTTTTTTTTTTTTGAATTTACTTGGCAATTTTTGTGGTCAAGGAGGGGGTGTGGGACATTTGGGGTACACCTTTGGTGTACCCCTATAAAGGTGTACCCCTAGCATTTTCCTTATTCTCAAGGTGGCACATTTCGGTACTTGGAATTCATTGTTATTTAATGTTGTTTCTGGCAATATATACAGAGTATGTTTTAAAAAAAAGAAATTGAGCTATAATTTCAGTCCATTTGCCTAAGAGTGAGATTCTGTGCGTGATATTTGCAGAAACTACATGCTTTGCATGATTGCCTCTCATCGTAGCCACCAGGCTTCGGACTCGGGTCCCTTGAAGCACTCTTATACCAACCACTGAGCTACGCCCCAACGGCAATATATATGTTTTAAAAAACAAAAAGTAAAAAGAACCAGGCGATATGATTATATTATAATAGTTTTTTTTACTGTGGTAAACAATCAAGGGCATGGTAGGAAATAACAAGAAAGGTAAAAAAACAATAAGATTATTAGTGGTTATATAGATGATGGGAAGATGAGAAGCATATCTATGGTGTTGAAATGATATTGCTTGCCATTTGAGTAGACTATCTCAAAGAACACACAGGATTTGATCTCATTATTCTTATATATGCATCATCACACCTTTAACTTAGTACGTACTCTTCTATTTAATTTGTTCCACACAAAATAAAAAAAGATACTATTAATTTGGTTTTAATGAATAAAGTAGGGAGGTTTTTTTAATGAAACATTCAAAATTAGAGACACATTTTCAAATGAAAAAATATTGGATTTAATTGATGAATTGGACTGGGCTTATAATGGCGTATGTCATAATTTTAAGTAAAAAAATGATGCACTAATTTAGCATTCTTAATTGCCATAACAAAAAAGACAATTTAAATTCAACTCCTTGTACTTTTAGTCTCATACTTCCTCCGGTCCTAAAAACACGGGAATTATTGATTTTTAAGAGACTTAAGAAAAGTGTATTTTGGTATTAAATTTTCAAAAAAGTCATTTGATGTGATGTGTAAAAGTATGATTTGATGAGTATAATATGAAAAAATAAGAGATAAAAATAACTTTTTAATAGAAATAAGAAATATTTTTTGGAACGGATGAAAAAAGAAAGGAGAAGGGTTTTCAGGGAGGGAGAAAGTGTTATTAAACTTGGACATAATTGTGGCGGGTAAATGTTACAATGAATTTGAAGTTTACTACACCTACGTAGAGATAGATGAAGTGAATTCGAACAAACTATTTTTATTTTTAGAAGTGAAAATTATGTTTAAAGACTATTTTAAAATTAAAATTTTTTTATAAGAATGACTTAACAGAAGAAATATTTTATAAGAACAAAAAAACAAAAATACTCCGTAATTTATTTTTATAGGGAGCAAAAAGATATTTAACCTGAAAAACAGGAAAACTCCGTATTAGCAGCTAGATTGTCTGCATATTATAAATCCAAAACACAGCAGTACTCCTTAGTAGTAGTGCGCATCCAGCGCGCGACTCGCCGATAAGCTCTTTTGTCTTCTTCAAAAGCTACCCCTACACCGATAAGCTCTCTCTTTTGTGTAGGAGGAAATTAATTAAAGCTTCTTCAACCTCTGAAATTCCTTCCTTTGTTTCCCTCTCTAACCAACCCTTCCACTGTGTACCATTCCGTACTTTCTCCTTCTCCAAAAATCCTTTTTTTTTTTATTTAAAAAAAAAAAAAAAGAAGCTTCAACTAATGGCGACTCAGAGGTCAGCTCCTAAGCGGCGGAGGTACTCTTCCCAGAAAGCCTACTGCTGAATTTCAAAAAGACCCATCTTTTTTTATCTTTCTTCTTTTCCCCTCTGTACTTTGAGAAATAAATAAAAGCCCCATCAATTTCTTCAAGATTAGATTTTTATGATCTCTCTGACTTGGTTTCTCAATGTCGTTTGACTTACGTTGATAAAGACTTCGCCATGAGGGCTATTTCAAGGATTTACTCTTTGAACACCTTCTTTTAGTTTTTAGTTTTTTTCTTTTTCTTTTTGGGGGATTTGCAGAAGAAAATTTTAGTCTTGTTTCTTTTTTTTTTTGTTTTTGTTTTTGAGTTGTGGGCAGTGAGGAATGGGAAGGGATGAAGATTCTTTACTACTACTACTACTACTTCTATCAACTGAGGGGCCGCCGATAACGAGGCGAGCAGGGCTGAGGAGGAAACAAGCTGGGAGAGGATCATATAGAGGGAGTTAGGTTTTAGTAGGACAACTATTTTAGAGGGAGGGGGGGAAAATTAGGGTTTCAAATTTCTGTTGTGACTTGACCTGGTTTCAAGATTTAGGATTCTTGGGTGGGTTTAGAATTGTTAGAATTTCTGCTGGCTGAAAAGAGAAAGGGAGGAGGAGAAGTTTTAGAATATGGGGCTCCAATCGCGCCGAGCTCTCAAGAAACTTTGCTGCAACACTGCTTGGAAGTATGCTGTTTTCTGGAAGCTCACGCATCGTGCCCGGATGTATGTTCTTTCTCACCTCTTCTTCTTTCCCTCTCCATTAATGGGTTTTGAGTTCATATTCTAGCAAACTCTGCATTTCATATATTTACTGTCTGCTTTTGAAATTTAAATTTCTACTTCATTCTTCAAACCTCGAGGTTCTAGATTTCTTGCTCTACATTGGTTCGTGTAGTGGACTCCATTGAGTTGATATTGTTGAGGACATTAAGTCTCATATCGAACACCCAAGGCTAAAAACAGACTAATGTACATGATTGATGAATGTGGGTTACCTCCTACATTGCTACTTGGTTTTGAGATGAAATCTCACAATTCCATTGAGGTTAAGGCTTGGTTGTTGTTGGGCTTCATGCAGGGTGTTGACTTGGGAGGATGCGTACTATGGTGACGATGAGAAGAAGTTGTTCTCTAATGGGCATCATTCGCACGACGATGCTCTTGGTTTAGCCGTGGCAAAGATGTCATATCATGTTTATTCTCTAGGGGAAGGGTATGGTGATGATACTTGAAAGTATAACAACTATTGTTATTTGTAATCGTCCATGTGTAGAGAATGCGTATAATTGTAAACTTATCATTCCCTTTGAACTTAGGTGTCTACTTTTTATCTAGTTATCCGGTATTGATAATCTACTTTCCATACTCAATAAAAAAATTACGATGGATTATCTAAAGCATCCTAGAGATGATACAAGGATCGCAGACATAAATGGTTGGCACCCACTTGAAGGACTTATTTCTTAAAAATGAGATTTTTTAGAAAGTGGACAACTAAATCCTGACGGAGAGGCCTCATAGTTTTCATTTCAACAGGATTGTAGGACAAGTTGCTGTAACTGGTAAACATTTGTGGATCTCTAGTGATAAATGGGTGGTGAACCAGAGCTCCATGTTCGAGGTGTGAGACTGTGATAGAATGATGTTTGTTTCCCTTAATGAATGCCCATCTTAAAATGTGACATCTCACACTTTCTTTTAATTTTGGTTCAGTATGATGATGGATGGAAAAATCAGTTTTCAGCCGGGATTAAGGTTAGGCATTATTTTGATATTCTTACCATTTTTTCTTCTGTTGTTGTGGGGTTCTACTGGGTTGTTGTACCATTTTTCTTAATTTGAACCTCATCCTTAGTTTTCTCCTAAGAGGTATATTGATTTATAATCTTGGTCTAACGATAAGTGGTGAGGTCTGTCTCTAACTAATGGCATTTATGCTATTTGTAAATTGCAGACCATAGCTGTAGTGGGGGTTGGTCCTCTTGGAGTTGTACAGCTTGGATCTTTGGATGAGGTGAGATTTTTGCTACAACACTCTTCAAATCATCAAATGTTAGGAATCATCTACACTCTTGTTGTTATTCCTTACTATAAAACACAACAAACACGCGCACACGGGAAACTCTTAGAGCTGTGGAGGGTTCACTAGTCAAATCTTCTGCTCCTATGTATGTATTTATTTTATTTATTTTGTCCATTAGGTTCCTGAGAATCTGAAGATGGTCAAAGACATAAGGGATGTTTTTTTCTTGGAGGCCCGTGGTTCTATGGACGGTGCTCACTTGCACAGTGCAATGCCAAATAATGTGGAGACTTGTGTGGTATAAATAACTCTCCCCATACTTTGGAACATGAGTGTTTTTAGGGGACGGATGGAACACGGTTTTGTACTTTTAGTGGGTATGACTTAATGATCCGTGGGACCAATAGCGGAAATGATTTATTCCTTTTCACTCTTCTTTTCCAGTCAGATATGTACACAAGAACCTCCAGTTCTGAGGCATATCTTTATTGCATGAACAATCAAAGCAGAAGCGTTGAGAACGGAACACATGTCATCTCTTCTGAAGATGCGTCTCTTGGACAAGGGCAACACAATCATCATTCTCGCATTGATAATAAAGTTCATGAAGAAGTACCTAACAAGCATGAAAGAGAAGTACAAATGCAGGAAGCTATTCCTACAATGAGCGAATTGCAAGCTAGCAACTACTTAACGGACTCAATATTAGAGGATAATGAGAAATGTCTGAAGCATAATAATACTAGTGACAAAGTTATTGATCCAAATGAATTGTTTTCTTTGCCAAATCTTCTAAATGCCAGTTTACATAAAGATACAGAGAACAATACCTTCCAGCCTACTGATATGAACACAATTCAGACTCCCTTAAGCTACAACTATCCTGGATGGGAGCTCTATGAGGCACTCGGACCTGCTTTTCAAAGGGTGAGTGATGTCACTCTTTGGGAAACGGAAAAATTTGAAATGGAACCCGAGGTAACGGGTGATAGCAGTCTGTTGATGAGTGAGAGTACGACAGATCATCTTTTGGAAGCAGTGGTGGGAAATGTTAGTTGTTACCAGGAGAGTGATGCTAGCAGCGTTGCCAAGTCTTTCTCAAAACCTGTTGAAGTGAGAGAACCTTGCAGCAGTGATGTGGGCACATTAAGTTCAGCGGGATATTCGTTCAGCTCTTCAGGGGCACATCTGGAAAGACAACAAGAACCAATAAGAAGGATGAGTAAAAAAAGGGCTAAACCTGGTGAGAGTTGTCGGCCCAGGCCAAGGGACAGACAACTGATTCAAGAACGTATCAAGGAGTTGCGAGACCTGGTGCCTAATGGTTCAAAGGTAGTCAGTCAGTCAGTTTCTACTCCACACCTTTCTTTCTGGAATGTCCTACGTAATGCTTCCTGATTTATTTAATTATTATTTTTATTTCGAATTATAATTCACAGTGCAGTATTGATTCACTTCTGGAGCGGGCAATCCAACACATGCTTTACATGCAAAGTGTCACCAAGCATGATGAAATGCTTAATGAATGTAATGCATCAAAGGTAAACACGGAACACATTGGTAACATACTTTACAATTTTCAATGTTTTGTAAAATGCTTGTTTAGCACCTCGGTCAGTAACTACAACTGAAGGACTAAAAAAGCAACTAACAATGTGAGCTTGGTTGTCTAGTATGTACAGTTCACACTATTGATGCTAGTTAGCACCCACAAACTTAACAAAAAATAACTTAATAAACTTTCTTTGATTCCAGTGGCTTGGGAGGGAATCAGTAACCCACAAGGAGCGTTCTTATAAGGAGAAAGGCTCAAGCTGGGCAGTGGAAGTGGGCAGTGACTTGAGAGTTTGTCCTATAATTGTTGAAAATCTGAGCACAAATGGTCACATGATAGTGGAGGTAATCGATATAACCTGAAGGGTCTTTTGCAAACAACCTCGATTTCTTTTGTTTTTTTATTCCACATTTTTATTGTGAATTTGTGATGAACACAGATGTTACTGAAAGACTGCAGCCATTTTCTTGAGATAGCAGAAGCCATCAGGAGCTTGGAACTTACTATACTCAAAGGGGTAGCAGAGGCTTATGGCGAGAAGACACGCATGCTCTTTGTGGTTGAGGTATTCTCCTATAATAAGAATAAGGTTACTGAGCAGAGCCATAAGGCACTTGGGCCAAACCAGATTAAAAGTTGAATCAAGTCCATTTACTCCATAATCTAGTTCAACTTAAGGCTTCATTAACCTAAATTTACTGTTGAGCAATTGTTTTGTGAGTCCCTTCAAACAACTCCCACCCTCGTTTACACCAATGTCGACCCACAACCTATATGCGTGACAAACACTCTATGACCAGTGGTAGTTAGTGCTCCGATATGAGATTGTAACAGCTTATATATATTCTTCAGGGGCAGGAAAATCGAGCAGTGCATCGCATGGATGTACTATTGTCACTGATGCAGCTAATATCACCTGGGATCATTGTGTGATCGGGATCAAAGATAATTTTGTTACTAACAGAAGGATAGTGTCGCGTGCATTTGGGTTTCTGTTTTTATTTGTGTAATAACAATAGTGATGTGAGCTTTTAGATTATGTGTGGAGAACTGAAAATGTTTTCTTTCCATGTTTTTGTAATTCTTATTTACAATGAATAATTATTTGTTCAGGGTTCTGTACCAATGCAATTTCAAACTCTACTTCCGAATGCATTGTTACTGTAGTTCCTAGTTACATTGATATAATTCTAATTACTACCTTTGTAATAATGTGTTTGTTCAATTTAAGTTTTTGAAGTTAAGTTGGATAAAGTTTGAATATAAAATATGGAGTAAATAAAGATTGTACTATCACTCCTTTCATCCAAGTTAAGTTGCATATTTACTATATTAACAACGTCAACCATTAATACGGAGTAACTTTCTTTACTCTTTTGATAAAATAATGTATTTATGTTATGTCTTGTTCTATAAAAAATTTTATGCAGTAAATTTTACAGAATATCTCTTAATTCTACCCCAATTTTAATATAAATTCAGTCAAGTATCCTAAGTAACATACAACTTAAAATGAGACACAAGGAATGCATATTAGTATAAAAATAATTTAATTAGATTTATCTTATCAAATATATTGTGTTTTAAAAATAATTTTATTTTATTTTATTCTTAAAAAATATATTGATATTTATTTAATTGATCATCAAAGTTTGACCTATTTGACTACAAAAAAACCAATTAGAAACACTAGAACGAAGAGAGTATTTCTCATGCAACTATTTGATCCTTGTTTTATGTGTTGGACAAACATACGAATAACAACAACAGCAACAACCCAGTTGAATCCCACAACAGTAGGGTCTGGTGAGGGTGTGTGTACGCAGACCTTGCCCCTACTCAGAAGTCGGAAGTAGGGAGGCTGTTTCCAAGAGACCCCGGCTCCACCAGCACAAAAATATAGAAGAGCACAAACATACGAATAACAGTTTTTTTTTAAAGATCGTTTTTGTGCAGTGAACGCATAAATTATACGGAGTACTTAAAAAAATGTACAAATTCCTTTTGCCAGTTTTTCCCTGAAACTGAAGCCGTTTAATTCTCCTTTTGAGAGTGAATGCTCGTCGATTTTCTCAAGAAGAATTGCACATTTGTTATGCCAATTTGACATACGATCCCTTCACTCACTTCTCGGAGCCAAATTTGTTTACTTCCTTAACAAGCAGAGGCAATGTTTAAGCAAAAAACATTTGGGGGACAAATTGAAGGTTAAGGTTTTAATACCTCGCTAAGAAGACTCTTTTGGTGGTAATACTTTGTGCAGGCCTTTTCTCTCATACCGAAAGAGCAGCCAGGCCCCATTTTTTGCAAGCTCCTTCTGTGATTTTAAAAAACAAAACTGAAAACCAGCAAGGGGTCGGTAAGAGAAGCCAGGCAGTGGTCAGTGGACAATTCAACAGAACTAGAATCACAATATACAACTGGTCTTCTAAAAAGACGACAAGAATAACTGTACCTGCCTCACTTCTGGAGCAAGAAGAACAAACCATTTTAAGGAACCCAAGAAAATGTTTTAGCTGCTTGGGCAGTAGCATGCTATGCGGTATGGAAAACGAGAAATAAGAAGCTGCATTTGAATGAGACAACAAAGGTGGAGGATTGCACTGTTAATGTTTGGTTTTCTTTCAAGTGTTATATATATATATATATATATATATATATATATATATATATATATATATATAGTAAAATGAAATATGCGTATATTACCTAGCATGGGTTTGTTTTGTATGTGGTAATTTGCTTGGGATGGTGTTTGTATGACTTGTTTTTTTTGTGATCAATACATTCTGTGATGCAGTTTAAAAAAACAAATGAAGTTTGACGTACGGAGTATTGTTTTGATTTAGTCCATTATCTACCTGAGGTTAAACATTCTCAATAATGACTCTTTTAGCTCCATTGACAATGAACAAAAAAATCCAACAGACGTGTGTGGTTAGACTGCCTAGAAACAACAGCCGATGCGAAGAAAGAAGGATTCTACTACAAATGGGCAAGTCTAATTTAGTCCATTCTCATAATTCAAAGTGCCTCGCTAAAGAACACATTTATTAAGACTAGGTTGCAAGCTAAGAACTCCAAAATAGTTTCTTCTTAGGACTAGGTTGTGAACTAAGAACTCCAAAATAGTTTCAAACGTTCAACTAGCACAAATATTCAAATTTGGTTGGTCCTTTTTTTGTATGAACTTTTTGATATAATTATATGTTACTCATAGTCTTAATTATGGAACTATTGGTTATTTATTCCCTGCATACTTGAGAAAAAATATTTGCAATGATTACCCTATACCTTTATATTATCATTTCCATACAACCTACATATTCAAAGACAATAAGTGGTTAATAATCATGTCTTTTTAAATGAGTACACAAAGTTTTTTTCTTGTGTCTTCGAAAGTAAAACGTGCTACAAAATAAAGCCAGTTTACCTTTATTCTTCTTCCCAGCTCAATGTGTCTGATCAGTCAGTGGGCCTGGAAGCCAGAATGCTATTAATGATAACTTCTACATCACCATCTAGCAACACAAACTTGTGCTCAATCATCTTCCGTCTTCTCTGACATCTCGTGGATCTAATGCATTCACAAAAAAGATTATGCTGGTCCCATTCACCATTGATGTGATCGAACCATATTTTTTTAAAACAGTTGTTACGGTGACATAGTCAAGCCACCTCTTGTTTTAAATAATTTTTGGTATAGTTTTTAAATACGAAATGTTACTTTTTATATCAATGGAAAATACCTCAATGCTCCGAGCAATGAAGAAATATTTCATTAAATTAACCATGGATCACTTCAGGTAGTTTCCAAGCAAGCTGTCAGATCATGTTTGACGGCCGGATGAGTTGCCGAATGGTCCAAGCAACCTTCAAGCAATGGGTATTACTTCAAGCTGAAGGATGGAAAGGTTGTTTCCTTAATTGTTCCTTGGAAACTCACGCAAAGATAATGTTGCTGAATGGTGGAAAGGTGGTTAACTTGAGTGTGTGTATATAAATAGTCACTGTAGAGGCAATAAAAAGCATTCAAAATTGAATTAGTCATACCATTAAAGTTCTCTAAAAATAATGTAGCTGACAAGTATGCTGCAGCAACAGCAAAGCCAATGCACTGGAAACAAGCCAGATATCTATCTTGGGTCTTGAATTCAAAAAAGTATAGGATTTGAACTGAAACAAGAAAAAACACTTCCTACCTTCATTGAAGATTTGCCCGTGATTGAATTATCTAGTCAATAATATGGGTCCCGTTTACTTCTGGTCCCCGCAATTTACTGAGGTCTTTGCAGGTAATGAAAACAGAAACAGGTCTTCCTCAATGCAGAATGCAATGGGCCTTCCTCTTGGAGAAGCTTTATGTGCCCTTCCACTGGAACTGAAGTGGGAAGGGGGAACCCCATTCACCCTGAGTTTGATTTGTAACACAAGTTCAAGAGTAATATAGGAGATAAAACATTTGAACACAAGGGATGAAAAAAGTATAGGACGTAGGAAGATGACCACCTATCCATGGTTCTTCTCTAGGTACTAAACATGAATTGACAAAGATTAAGCCATTGGCATATAACATGAACTTTGATAATTGCATTTGATTTCATCAATATGAGTTGATCTAGGAAGAAGCTGAAACCTTGACGGATATCCCATTCAAAGTCAAGCAGAGGAGGGTCCATGGTTATGAGTTCCCTAACAAGTATGTTGTACAAGAGATTCCGTTGAAAGAATATTTGTACATGGCATGATGAACTATCCATGCAGGTAACAACAACAGCCTCATTCTGGTTGAGAATACACAATTGTTAACAAGACCATATGCAAAAATGTTCAAAGGTAACTTTCCCTTAGAAGAAGTCATCGAATGCCCCTTCCCGGTCACTTTCACAGTTTTCATATCCTGCAAAATGCAACCATGAACAGAAGTGAATTATACACTAAAGGTTTTTAATGCAACATTCAACTAAAATAGTAAATCTATTGAGGTATATATCACTGTCTTGGGAGCTGTGAGGCCAATTCTTGATATTCGCATGAAAAGAAAAAAAGTTCTGTCATAGGGTGAGAACTTTGACAAAAATATGCATTTTGGGATTTAAAGGTTGAGATGTATGGGTGGGGATCTGGGAGTGAAATACAAATGGATTCTAGCCTAACTAGGACATCCAACAAGTTTAACCAAATCTAGGCAAAGTGGGCTGACCTGCTATTTCTGCTGCTGAAAGATCTTGAACTATAAGCTGGAAAGCGGCGGGATCAGGGGAAGATGGGGGTGCTGACGTTGAAGCAAGATCTGGACATGTGGGTGTTGTGGCATCAGTGTTAGAGGAAGTTGTAGCATCACCATGATGTCCACTAGAAATGAATCTGGAAGTTGAACTTGAGCTGGATGAGGCACTTAATATCAATTTTAGCTCTGAGAATTGATCTGATATGCTGCATAACATCCTGAGGCACACTAGATCATATTCAGTATTAGTCACACAACACATTCCGCCCATTGTCAATGGAGCTGAAAGAGTCATTGATTATGTTTTAATTTCTTGTAAATAATGGTCTAAATAGAAATGTCACATAAAACTTCCTTTACTCTTACAATTCTACTTTTATGATGTTTTTGGTACTAAATGCAGCAATGCAACTGGGGTCAAATGGGAAGCTGGGAACAACCTCTCTATTTTACACGACTAAGAGTAAGGGTGTGTAAACCTTGACCCCTAGACCCCAACAAAGTTGGAATTATACCGGGTTTTGATGTTTGTTTTGTAGACATTTGACACATGAAGCCTTCTTTATTTTAATATAAATGCAATAAGCATGTAACTACACAGCCTGTTTCTATACTTTGATCTTAAAAGACAGAAGTTTCCAACTACATTAACCCAACATGATACAGTGCCACATATCCATTTATTTTATGTTATTAATATTTATAATAGAGTCTGTTAGGGTCATTAGTTTAACAGATCAAATATATTTATTATATATACTAAGTAGTAAATAATGTTTAGGTGGACCTAAATTCTAGTAGTGGTTGCTAAGTAATGTCAAATGTGGTAGTGAGTCTAAAGTCTAAGAATAGTTACTAGTTAATGTGGTAGTGGCCCTAAATTATAGGGATTGGTAGTTATTTGGCTTCTATAAATATTGAAGCTCATTATTTTTAAATGTTATCTAGAAAGTAATTCAATATTGGTAAATTCTTGCTCATATTTTGATAAAGATTTTCATTCATCTTTATTATTTTATAGAGCTAGATCCTGATTTCATAATCTGATAGAGATTTTCCTTTATTTATTTCCCTACAACTCTTTAGTTCTATCATTGGTATCGGAGCCATACGATCTTTATGGGTTCCTTGTGCAAAAATTCAGTTCCTCCATTTTCTCCATACAATTTATCATCCAATAGGCACTCTCCTTGAGGCAGATCTAAGCTCTTAGTGCATCCCATTTCCCTAACCCTTACTTCAGAGTAAACCTATTGGTAATATAATATACGGAGTAAATTGTTGTGTTAACTCAGACCCTACTCTTGGGTTGGATATATTGCATATGCTTGGTTAATTAAATTATGTTGAAACCTAATACGGACTAATAATTAATTACATGATAGCTGGAAGAAAACATACATGTTCAGTGATTCTTGAAGTCGGTGAACTCTTCTTTCCGATTCTTCCAACTTCACACGCTTCTCTTCACTTGATTCTAGAGCTTTTGCACATTTCCTTTCACATTCATCTGCACGTTGCTTTTCAGATTGCAATAGAATCTGTCAAGAAATATTGGCAAAGGCAAAGTCTGAAATAAGCTTATGAAGACAAAAATATAAACTTAGCTACTTAAGGGATAATAGTAGTCAGCTGACCTTTAATCTTTCCACTTCTGCGGTTAAAGCATTGATCTTTTCTGTATCTACAAAAGGGACTGATGAATCCTGCTTCTTTGCCTCTTCCAAACCCATCTGCACATCATTGAAAAATTCTGTCAATGGGCTGGCAAGACCAAGCATCTGCAGAATAAATGTTTACTACTTTTGGTCATTTCTCCAACTCCACAAAACACACAAGTTCTTTAACCTGGTGTTCAAGCCCATCCTTTTCTTCGTCAACCACACCTGTGTCTCTCGCAACCTAAAGATATCAGAAACATATGTCAGGCAATTCCAAAAACAAAGTGGTTTATTTTATCATGTGCACCAGGTGCATAAAATGTATTTAGTACACTTTCCAAACATATGAGTTAATGCAGTCAATTGGACTAACTAGGGGTAGTTGAAGTGTATTAAACATACTTTATCATATGGTAGTCATGAAGGGAAAAAAGTAACAATTGATTAAGGCTACAAGTTATCTTAGTAAACTATGAAGTTATAATACACGGAATAGTTTTTAGATTTAGATGGGTTTTAACGATATTTCCATGATATCGGGCAGGAAAAAGGCAACTGCCTATTTTGGAGCTTATAATAACTCAATTAGAACAATTTATGCTCTATGCTCACAATAACCACTTATTAAAGAAGAAAAAAAATGCATAACACGCCGACTTCCCTCTTCTTGCACTACTTTCACAGAGCATATAGATCTGTTGAACTGATATTATCAACATTACCTTAATCCCAAATATGTTGGGTCGGTGGCATAAAATAAGGTCAATTTAATGTCTAGAATTAATTAATACTCCACACTATGCATTCAAGAAAAAGAGTGGCACATGCCCTTCCTGTCACAATGCTGTTACCGTGTTACAATGACAACAACCCAGTTGAATCCCACAAGAGTAGGGTCTGGGGAAATGCTGTTACCGTGTTATATCAGATTAATTATATGAAATTCCAAATCATCTGGAATTTCACCACTTCAGCCTTCAAGATCGGATACAAGGCGCGGCCTCTATTTTCATGACTAAACATAAATGATGAGATTTATGGGTAATCAAGCTAATTAGATGGTTTTATCCTACCATCAACTTTTGAAGCTCTTTCCTTGCAACCCTTCCTCTCCAGTAGCACTGCATTACAATTGATGCCCTTATTAGTCTCCTATAGTATAAGAGGGCTCTATAACCACGCCAATGGGCCTGCAAAGATGATATCCAATTCCTCAAAAAAAAAGAAGAGATGATGATATCCAATTTAATTAAGGAACTGAATTACATCACAATCTCTGAGCCAAGGGATAAATCATGAAGTCAGTAACTAACTTGTATAGTAATTGCAAACTTATTTTGATATTTGTATCTGAACTTCTTGAATGCAGCTAATGTCCGTGTTCTTTTCTGCAGAATAATGACAGCAGACTTAAGCTTCACATAGGACTTCCTCGCAAAATGTCCACGAAAATTTCTCTGGATTTTGAGAGAAGATGCCTCCTTTCTCATGGTTGCACACAATTCACAAGCAAGCCTGGCTGTTAAATATAGGAGAAAACAGTGATAAATAAAAATTACCTTTAAATGGCAAAGCTATCACAGATCGATACAGTGCTTGTTTAAATGTTTAATGACTTCTTAAGTTCTTATTTAGCCAGAATAACAGACTAGTATGATCCCAACTCCATTGGGTCTGGGGTCAAGACATAGAGTATGTTTCTGTTAAACTCTTTGCATTGGTGCATTTACTTCCCAGAACTACATAGAAAGTGAGAAGGGAAGTTTAATATGCCATTTGATGTAGTCCAGTATTTACTCAAAACTAGAACATTAGCAATGATGACCTTTTTAGTTCCATTGGCAGTGGACGCCTCATAAAATATTCTTCAAATGAAAAGTTCAAACCTCTGCAAGAAGACTGTATACAAATTGCGGCCTTTTGCAAATCAAGAAAGCATCTCCGATCAATACGGCTTTTAATATTCCTTTGAATTCTCATAGCTGCACGGCTGAGTTTTTGAGTCCTCATTGCCTCCAGTTGAGCCATATCACCTGCTCTAAGAAAGACTTTCGTCTTACCAATCTGCACATGAAAAGAATGACTAACTCCATTTAGTACGTGTGATTCACAAATCAAGAGCCTGTACCGCGTGAAGGAAAAGAATAAAACAAGTGGCAAACTACATCACATGTCACCATATAGTACTGTGTGAAGGAAAAGAAAAAAACAAGTGGTGAGACACATCACATGCCACCATATAGAATAATAGTTCAAACTGCTTTTATCACTGCCCGAGTTGATTTATATATCCATAAGGAAATAACAATAAACCATCCAAACTTGGTTTAAAATAAAAGAGTCAAGCTGATAAAATGTGTGTGCAAGTAAGCAAAGTAAAGAAAAAAAACTCTTTTTACGCGCCTTACAAATTAAAAATAAAAATACACTTCTGGCAGATTTTAAATTACTTGAATATACAATCATATATTGATGTGCAGGTAGATATTGCTTCAATAACAAAAGGATGTAGGTTGGCTAGAAATGATTGAAGGTGTCAAACAAATATGACTAAAATATGGTCAACCAGTGCAGTTCAACATTAACCAATTATAACCTGAGAACAAGGAAGCCCCATGTTATCCAAAATCTTTTTGCAAGCCTCTTTTTCTTCATAACTGTCCATGAAAAAGTCAAAATTAAGAGGCCATGTAAGCCACGCAGCAAGAATTAAACTGCACCTACAATCATGAAATTTGCAAAAAGATTTTTTTGATTCTTGAATGATGAACACAGTAACTGAACTTACGTCCCAACCAATACTTCTGGAGCAAGAATACCAAACCGCTTAAGAAAATCAAAGAATGTTTTACGCATGGGGTAGCCTGCACAACTGATTTTAACTGCTTCTATAACTCCCTGCAATAAGGAATACAGAGTGATGTAACTAAACATTTCGTAATTATGGAAATTATTAGTATGCAACTGTTAATGTGTACTCACACTGCAACGAAGTTGATGCAAGATGGTGGCATTCTCAAAAGCGGAAGGTTTTAGGAGATTATTTGGCTTCATACATCTGATATAATGAGGTTCAGTCGAATTAAGAACGTCCATCAATTGTTGGAGTTGTAGCTTCAGCAATAAATTATAACTAGTTATTGATAGCAACTGCCTCGCTTGAGTCGACGTATATTCATAACTTTAGGTGCGCTAAAAACTTAAGAAATCTGTAATTCGGTAAATCATACTACCTTGAAACGAGAACCAATAGATGAAAACTTGGAAAGTTTACTTGTCTCCTCACAAAGAGGGGGCAAGAGTCCTGCCACAAATGGGCACCTAGAAGAACTTAGCAAACCTTGATGCTCAGGAACAATATAGTCTTTGTTCTTATCCAAAAATTGATCAGACTGGTATAGAACCTGCCGATTTAACTTGAATCTCAGTCATGCATCATGTACCAATTGACATTTTTACAATAAAGCGGAAATGTACCTCTCCTGCATAATGAGCAATTGCAAATTCACTACTAGCTAGTTTTGGTTTGATGAAGTGTTTGTGCCCACTGAAAGTCTGATAAAGCTTTTGCGAAAAAGTTTCATGAGTTGACTTGGGAAACATACTGGATACAGGAGAAGTTCATAGAGAGAACATCAGTTAGAATGGTCTTTGCACATACAGTCCAAAGATCATAAATAGAAAATATGGCAAGCAATGCACATAAAACTGAAGTTTATGAACATACCATGCTTCATCAAGAAGAGCAATGATCCCTCCAGGTTTCTGATGATAGCATTTCATGAAAACCTTATGTCAACTGGTGGACTAATGCAAGTATAAAAGAAAGGTCTAGAATACAAAATTATCTTTAAGAAGTTAATACAAGAAATCAGCCAATCATAAAAGCATTAGCTCTGTAGCACGCATTTTTAAATGGGAAATAGCCAAAGAGAGAATAAATTTGAGGGAATAAATACAGAGATATATTTCCATGGATGAGTACGGATTTTGTGACTGAATAAATGCTCATTGATTTTGGTATATACACATTATAAGTAAGCATAACTGCTTAATTTTGAATCCAACATTTGAAAGTCAATAACCATAGATGAGTACTTTTATATAGTATATGCTGAAACCATTCTCATTTAGTCATGTCTACTTCATAATTGTTTATCAACAGGTATACATTGACGTGCAAGTACATGCATGTGTGCACATGTATATATGTACATACATATAATGATATAAACACTAACTCATAACACATATAAATATCAATACTTACACACACATGTGTGTCGATGTGCACAAATATGTATATGAATGTATTTGTCCTTTTTGGGTTGCATATATGTTTGTGTCTATGTGTATCCCTGTGCCTTATCACATATTCACAGGGGGAATGCCATTACAAAAAGGAAATGAATGAACCTTTTCGATAAGATCTAGAACATCTCGGTTATCAACAAATTTGATATAGCTCCAATCAATCCCTTCATTTGTGTATTCCTCCTGCTCCAACTTGAACACATGCTGGAATAAACCACAGAACTTAAGTGACTTCGAACAAAAAGTACCATAGTGATTATGATGCAACATCAAATATATACCTGGTTAAAATGTTGTTGCAGCTTCTCGTTCGTATAATTAATGCAGAACTGCTCAAAACTAGAAATGACAAAGAGAATAACTTAGTTTTAAAAAAAGTTTTAAGGACATGAAACAGCTCTCTGGTCACCCATGAAGACAACTTTTCTTGAGGTTGTTCTAGAAAACTTAACAAACAGTAAAAATTTACAGCGAACATCTTTTTTATAGTATGGATGGAATATCACTATATCAGTAAACAGATTTGTTGAAAATTAAAATCCTATACGTACCTATTACTCTTAAAACTTTCAAACCCATAAATGTCAAGAATGCCAATTAGTGACTTTGATTTTGGATCTTGTCCAATAGAGTTATTAATTTTGTCCACCAACCTGTAGGAAAATGTGTGTCCTTAGTCTTGCAGCAGCATGTGGCACATTATATAAACAGTTTAATCATAATAACAGAGATACCAGTCAAATAAGCGAGAATATATAGTCTTTGCTAAAGCATCCCTACTGGCTGCTGCATTATTAGGATCAAGACGCTTCTTGATAACATCTTCAGGGATGACCAAAGAGCGCGTTAGTAGAACATCTTCAAGTACATTAATGTCACACCTGATAAAAAGATAAAGAATTAGCAAAATGACTCACTCATATAACAAAAAGATGGTACACCAACGAAATAAATATTAAGGCTGCTCATACATAAGTAGCTCTGATGTTGTTTGAAGATGGAACTTTGATTTCTCATCCTTAATAACTGATGAGTCACTTTCACCATTGCTGGTAAATTCAATGTTTCCAAGATGCAGAATCGCTGCCACAACTCTAAATATTGCTTCCTGGGATGGAAAGTATAATAACTAGCAGACTTTGAAAGAAAAAAAGATGAAAATGAGCAGATGAAGTGATAGGACAACAATACTTGTTCTTTTGCACTAATTCCAACAATATCCATTGCTCTTCTTGTTGCAAGATAATCATGGACATCACTAACACCAACTAGTTCATAGCAATTTGATTGATTCAGGTAACGAAATGATTTCGGACTCCCTAACTTGTATCTTTTGATATCCTGTTAAGAATTGAAAAAGCATATTTTTATCAACAAATAGAATTACCAAATACTCCATCTGTCCATATTTAGTTGTCCACTTTCTAAAAATCTAACTTTCAAGAAATGAGATTAAACTGTCAAATCAGTCCTTCAAATGAATTTGTCACTCATTCATACCCTATCTGAAAAATATTTTAGACAATTCATCGACCATAATTTCTTTAAGAAAGTGAACAACTAATTCAAACAAAAAAGTGGATAGCTAAATCCTGACGGAGTATGAGATATTATGATGTGCAGAAGGCTCAGATGGTTTACCTCTTCTGGTGCTTCACAAAGAAGATAAAAACAATGATAATTTCGCTCAGGATCTGATACTTGGCAAACACGAGATCTCTCTAGGAGATAAGTTCTAATGGCTGCTCCAGATATTCTCCCATAGTTGTCAAATTGAAGCTCAATAAATTTCCCAAAACGGCTGCATTAACAAAGCAGAACCAAACATTGCTGATTTTTCTTTATTTTGAAATGATGAAATCATTCATTCATTGGTTCAAATATGAGGGTAACAAATCTGACCTGGAATTATTATTTCTAACAGTTTTCGCATTGCCAAATGCTTCAAGAACTGGATTTGACTGCAATCGTGTTAGTAAAGCTTGAGTTGAATTCTAACTTATGACAAGAAAGGATAGCATTTTAAAGGGAAACTACGAAGGAGAAGCTTACAGCTCTTCCCCTGTTTTATGGACTGTAGTAAAAAAACGTTAACTAAAAATGCAAAGAGTTAAACTAAGTTAGGGAAGCATAGAGACATTAAGGATTCACCATTTGAAACCACCTACTAAATTTGGAAACCTATCTCATTCTCAATAAGCCTCCATCCAATATCTTTAAAAGTAGTTGACCATTTGACAATTCATGACACAAGTGAATATAAATATTGTCATTAATTTGTTAATTGTAACACATTTCTACAGCCAAGCGTTCGTTCCCATTATAATTGCCTTGACTTTCTAGTTCACAGAGTAGCACAATAGCTCACAATCAACTACTGAGGCAGCAACCACCACAATTGGGTCCCTAGAATTATACATATCAAGTTCAAAAGGATAACAAGAAAGATCCACATTTTAATATACATTATTTGTATCTTTGTAGATAAATGATGGCATGCTGTGAGAAAATTGGTTGAGGCAGTTCATGCAAATTCAGCATAAATCAATGCATGGATTGATAAGAACCATTATATAATATTACTCACTCCACCACACAAATAGAGGTCTATAGTTATCATCATGTACACTAAGAAATGATAGTTATTATCATTAGAACATTATATTTCACCTCTGCCTCCATATATACCCTACTGTTTCATTAATTATATTACATAGGTCGTTACTCATTAGGAGTACATCTGGGGTAGTACCAAAACAACAACAAACCCATTATATTCCTAGCTATGTTAGGGTCTAGGTGGTCAAGATGTACACACTCTTATCCTTAAAAAAAGAGAGAGACAATTTCCGTGAGACCATTAATGCATTGCTTCATCTACTACCCAAAACTTCATAGAAAATAAGAGTTAAGGAAAGTTTAATAAGTCATTTTGATTTAGTCCATTATTTGCATGAAATTATAACATTGTCAATAATGATTCTTTTAGCTCTACTAGTAATGGGCATTATATGGGGGTACTACCATGATATACTATTAGAGGTATATATGGAAATGAAGAATTAATATTCAGCCCAAAACGGATAGCGGACTATCTTTGTGGGATGGGGAGGAGTAATATCTAATAAGAGTAAAAGAGGAAACATAGAGCAACACTTGAAGTAATTGAGAAACACGATAGTCTGAATAGAGTAAGAGCTTAAGGCATGTTTAGTTCTTTATAAAAAAGAATGGTGAAATAGAGCATATACTTTGTGTAATGATTAAAGATTCGTGTGTTGAGTAGGTAGACTGCTGAATTAACTCTGGCGAGTCATGTCCCTAATCCTCATTACCTTACATCTTGGATAAAATGATATAACATGTTAAGTGCAGGAAATATGCTGAATATTTTGTATAACCTGACGATATGAGTAATTGTTAAAAACCAGAAAAATGCTAGAGATCAGCTTACCTCCAAAACTTGTTGTTCTACATTTCTCCCTTCAGTGCCTTTTCGGCCTCCAAGATAAGCAAGGTATTGCATGAGCATTTTGGTAGTTTCGGTTTTACCCGCACCACTTTCACCGCTTACTAAGATAGAGTTACTTTTGCCTTCATTGATCATTGCCCTGTTTATCTTTAGTGAGTTTTGCATTGTTTTCATGAAAAAATCACTGTTGAATGAAAAGTTACCTGTAAGCAATGTCAGCAATTGCAAAGACATGAGGGCTGAGTTCCCCGCGAGATGCTCCTTTGTATTGTTCCATTGTACGGACATCATACAGATCAGGCAGTTTTTGGAACGGATTGATTGCAATGAGTATACTTCCAGTATAGGTCTGCCAGAATGTCACAGTATGATATAATATTATAACAAAGCAGCTTGCAGCTACGGTAATTCATAACATCTTAGAATCTTAAAACCCCTAATGAAATCTTACATAAAAACTTTTTAGGTGATATCTTCTTGACAAGTTATGCAAAATCTCGGGTTCATGAAAATACGAGAGCTTGGTCATGTCATCAAAACCAGTTTCAGGAGTATCATCATCTTTGAGATAAACCTTTGATAGATTTGATACAACCTGGAGCAACAAGAGCAAGCTTGGTCATGTCATCAAAGACCGTTTCAAAGTGATTATTCTGCCGGAAATATCATTTAATTTCCGGTGCAATCAATGACATTCAAATCAAGACTAAAACTCTGCATTAATTAAGAAAACTGCAGAAGAAGGTATATATGAACATCTATCCCAGAAAGCCCTAATTCGCGACAAAGATGACATTCAATCCATCACTTGATGCATTTCCGGAATCAAATTGTCGAATTGAAATTGAAATTACCTTCCGTCCATCGGACGTTTGGATCTCAACATCCTGTCCATCAATACTTGATACTCTTCCATCGATGTAAGAAAGCTGCGGATCCTCGACCCAAACCTGGGAACCTACCACGACATCTACTGGAGTTCCCTGCACTGGGATTGAGCGTGTAATGGTATACATGACGACGCCACACGGAAACACAATCGAAAGAGGGACGGAAACAAAAAACGTACCATTTCTACTGCATCGAACTAATTACTTTCTCGTCTTCTCGATCTGAAACCCCTAATTAGAAGAACGAAGATGGATAGATCCAGAACGGATTAAACGGATCGGCGAGGAAATGTGGCTTTTGTGACTGGGAGGTCGGGAAGGGCAATTTCTTCCGGAAAACAATGAGAATGGCGCGCCTTTGGCGGGGAATGGAACAGAGGGGGTGCGTTGGGATCTCTCAAATCTCCAACGGCCATATGTAATTCTTGATGAGGTCTTTGACCTGGCCAAGTTTGGAGCCAAAAAAAATCATTTGTTCCAAATAAAAATTATTTGACTTTTCGTGAAACTTACACCTCAAATTTGAGGGAAAAAATTTTGAACAAAAATGTATATATGTTTAATATCTTTTGATTTGTCTTGAAATGTATTTTTGAAATACTCCGTATTATAGAGTATATTTTGTACTATCTATTCCTTTCATCCCAATCCAGTTTGAATTTTTTCAGTCAAATTGAACGAAACTTAATTATCAATCACTCTTAAGTTGTGTTGTATGTTGATACATTGAATTAAAACCTTAAAAGTTTTTAATAAATTAAAACAATAACAACTCGGTCAGTAGAATCTTGCAGAAGTAAGATCTAGGTAGGGTATGTGTACACAGACATGTCCCCTACTCGAGTAATATAATACAGAAAGAAACATAAAGTTGGCAAAAAGCACCCATTTTTAACCACGAAAGCTACCATGTATCATAGTACCCAACTATCTTAATTCTATCTTTCCAAGTTTTCGATACCAATAATTAATACCATAACAAAATTTAGAATGTACTAAGAATAACTGAGTCCATTTGTTGTTTCTCAGCACTAGACCGAGTCCATTTACCAAACAAATCAAACCATTGAAGTATAATATATGCCACTAAAAGCACACACTCTCTTGCTGAATTTGTATGCATTTTTAGCGACCAATGAGCTGACGACTATGACTAATTGGGAATTATTATTAACTTACGCGGCCACCAACACCAAATATTGGGAATTATTATTATTATAACATACATTATTCTAATTCAATGTTTCGACGCCATATTACATGAAAGAATTCAACCATACCCGCATGGAATTCAATTACCAATTCAACCATTTTACTTCCTTAATCGGTCTTAACTTTTTTCTTACATTTGACTTTTAGGACTTTAACTTTACACTTATTAAAAAATTATATTCCCTCTGACTGAAAATATTCTTTATGTGTTGACATGATACGCTTATTAATAAATACGGAGTAGTAAATTAAAAAAGTATCAAAATACATTGCGTTTTTTATTTAATTGAAACTCAAAATTTATCCAGTCTGACTTAAAAAAATCAAATCAAATAAATACAATAAGACGAACATTATATACACTGAATAATAATACGAGTAATTTTCATTTTAGAATTGTAAGTCGTAGCAGACTGATAACGCGCGGTTCAAGCAAATGACCCATTCAAATTGTAAGCTTGTTATATTATGATCTCATCACCATACCACAGTCAAACAGCGCGACCTAATAATAAGATCAAATAAAGGTCAACGGTAACGTTTTAATCCAATCCAAGCTTATATATAAGCCCCCCTCCTCCTCCCCTTTTTCCCATCAATTCAAAATTCCATCATTTTTCCCTCCCATCCCCCAAATTTAAACAATTTTTATCCATCACCCCGGCCAAGAAGCTTATTATAATAATATTAGCAAATTATATAAACAGACACATAGTATAATCAATAATAATAATAATGGCACTGCTACGACCTTATTGTATAATTTCCAAATTAATTTACGTCCCTATTTGTATCCTTTGTGTTTTACTACTTGTAATAACCGTCAAACCCATTGAAGCCGGCAGATCATTTCCTTCTCGCAGTCTCCAATGGAAAGTCGTCACTCCTCCCCGGCCGAATCCCGGGACGAATAACGCCCCCCTCGTGGCAGCCACCCTCGGCGGAAAAAACTTTGCCGGGGCGGCCGCCGTGGAGGAGGAGAAGAAGAAGAGTGTTGTGATTCATGGTGGGTTGGCCGCCGGCGGAAGCTTTTTGCAATCTCTATGGAAGCCGGTGAGGCCGCCGACGCCTAACCCGGGGACGAACGCCGCCGGTATCGCCGGAGAAAAGAACTTCGCCGCCGTTGGGTTGCCCCGGAGAATGAAGTCGCCGCCGTCATTTTCAAAAGATGTTGGTGAAGGTGGGAATCATCTTTTGCTTCCATCTCTGCAATGGAAGAAGCCCACCCCTCCCTCTGCTAACCCTACTCACAATGGATGATGAAGTTAGTTAAAGCAGCTAGCTTCATCGATCAAACACTGACGTACTGATTAGGACATGCATGCACGTACTAATCGCTATTAATTAAATTCTTGTAGATAGAATTCTGTTTAATTCTTTCATATATTCTTTGATTCTTCAATCTTTAATTCCTTGTTAACTACGAAGTATATTGTGTACCTTGGAGTAAATAATAAATTCAATCCAAATCACATACGGAGTATAATAAATTTCTTATTTTCCTCTACTTGTTTGATTATTTAAGCCCGGAAGAAGCTCTTAAAATTTTTTCCTGTTTTTACTTTTACATCAAATTATGATACTATTTACTGGTAACTACTTTTATCTCTACTAATTATTAATCTACTTATTACACCATACTCCCTCCATCCCAGAGTATTCGTCCAGTTTTGACTTTTGGAACTGTTCATCTAAGTAATTTGACTCATCAAATTCTCTCAATGTGTAAGCCTAAATATAGTCATGTGTGATCTTGTTTGATTTGTCTTAACATATAGATTATTAATATATAATTTCTATAATTTTTTAATATACAAATTACAAGATAAAATGGATTAAAGAAGTGTATTGGATGGTGTGTAAAAATGAAAGTGGACAAATATTCTGGGACGGAGGTAGTACTTTTTTTAAATAATATACCTATCACATTCTATTTTTACGCGTCACATCAATGATAATTTTGGAAATTAAAACCAACACAAAAATACTTCTCCCTTAAACTTCATTACACTATGTATGGGTCAAGGAATTTGATACGAAAAAGAAAAGAGAATGAAGTGGAAAATAATTGTTCTTATTTGGTTAGAGATGAAAAGAAAATAAAAGTGGAAGAAAAAAAGGATAGGACAATATATGTACTAAGAGGAAAGAACCAAATTCCTTCCATTTAGATGAGAAAAATGAGAGAAAATGATGACATTTTTATGGAATGGAGGAAGTATTATTTATTTAGATTATGTTTAAATTATTGTCAACGATTGTCAATGTTAGACCAAAAAAATCAAAACATGAAAAAATTTTAGGACCAGAAGGAGTACAAAATATGGCAGCGCTCTGTGGTACCCCATCGGTCGCAATGTAAATTGTCTGTTTTGATTTACGATATTCACTACAAAAAATACGCGACATTGGCACGGCCGTTGGCACGGACTGTAGTATTGAATTTCCGTGACTTTGGATTTTGGCACGGACATTTGGCACGGAGAGCAGAGCTGCCAATTACGGGGCTCCAAAACATTTGGCACGGAAATGTATCCGTGCCAAAGCTTTGGCACGAATTTTAGCACGGACACTCTGTGCCAACCTAACGCCACTGACAATGTAACGTTTAAGTTATTGGCACGCCGTAGCCGTGACAACCGTCCGTGCCTAGTTTAGCACGTTGTAACGATATTTTCCGTGCAAAAGATTTTTTGAAATTTAAAAATTGAAAGAGGCGCCAATACTTGAAATTCGAATATAAAAAATTTCAAAATACAATTTTGGCACGGCCTTTATCCGTGCCATTAGTTTGACTGCTAAAGTAGTGAATTTTTCTTGAATATTTTAATTGCCCGTTATTTAACTTAATTAATTTGGCACGATAAATATCCGTGCCTAATCTTATAAAAAATAAAAAAAATTAAAAAATTTTAGATGAAATAAATAAAATCAAATTTATCTACTAAACAAACATTTAAATATAACTAAACATTAAAACATGTTAAGCATCCCAAAAAAAACATGTTCAGCATCACAAAAAATAATATGTTCCACATCATAATGAAAAATACAAAAACCACATGCAATAAACACATATTGCATACTGGTTAAATATTACAAATTATTTTTAATGTTACTAGTTTAAAAAACTAGCAACATCACAATTTTCCTGATTGTTTTCTTCATGGACTTCCTGCACA